CAAACATCGATAAAAACCCGGCTGCCGTCTCAACTTTCACTGGCCTTTGGCTGAATGTTTGTAAGAAATGTACTAACAGTTAACGAAACCGGTCGCCGTCTACCTAGAGTAAATGGTGCCACCAAACGAAGCAAAAGTTTTGCGACTTAATTCCCCAAAGGCAGATAAAGTTTTGCGACTTAATCACCTGATTGTGGATTGTGTGGTTAGTAAATTCCATAGCCATACTGTCCATAGCGCACAGTAAATTATGTGCTGTTGGAGCATTTTGGGGAAATTGACTCCTTTTTTCCATCCCAAACAAAATATTATTAATAAATCAACATGGTCCATCTCAATCATCATAGCCAGTCACAAAATAAGGCCAGGAAGTTTGTTGTCAACAGCAGACACTACAGAACGGAGTGCGTCAAAACGAGTGCATACCTACCAAGTCTCCCGCATTTGGCGGGAGACTCCCGCTTTTCGCCCTAACCTCCAGCTCTCCCGCCACTAGCCTAAAATCTCCAGCTTTTCTAATAATCTCAAGATTTTTTATTAAAACCCACAATTTAATACAAAAATATCCAAAACGTGACAATTCTGTAGTTTTATAAGGCATATAATATCTACGAAAGTTCTATCGCTTCGCGAAAATACACGCCGTTCCGATAGTAGACAATGTATTCGTGTAAAATTAACACTGGTGGCGCTGTACACATTACGTCATTTCTATTTTAACTTTACGACCGCGATCATGCATATCAATACTTTCAGCGACTTGGGCATAACGATGGTTTTACAAAGGGTACAAGATGGGTATAAGAGACAGGTGTAGATTTGGAAACCTTATGAACATTACAATCCGAAGCATAATTACTGTGTAAAACGTGTATTTGAGTATTTTGAAAATTTTGTTGAAAAAAAAAAATAAAGTTAAGAGTTTTAACACTGAAATAAAGCTATAGAATTTTATTTTTCAAAAAATGTTAGTATATATTACCCCATTTGTAAGATTTAATTTGAGCACTAGAGATCTGCTCAGAGTGTACCAGAGAGCATCTAGGCCTAAAAATTTCCGGGGCCCTAGGCGGGCCCTCGACCCACGCCTAAATTGTTTCGTTCCTGTCCAAATCTCCATCCACAGCCGAACTCAAACTTGGCATGTATGCGAGTGTTTGTTAATTTTTAGTGATAAAGAATCATGAAACGTCATAGAATAACTGATTTTTTTTTTTCGTCCGCTGTTGCAAAGAAGAAAACGACAGATAGTCCTTTAAGGTGGGTTATTGATTTCAAAATCAATTAGCCTAGCCTAGATGTTGAATAGCAAGGTTCGCTCCTCGTTCATTTAGAATTATACCCCGACGACAACAAAGTAGTGTAGGCCTAAGTACAGTAGGACGTACTACAGGTATTAGGCCTAGGCTTTTGTTGTAAAAGTTGAAGTGCATGTACAAAATGCGCCATAGGCCTATATTTAAAAAAAAACAACAATTTGTTAATTATTATTGGTTGGCCTGGGACCGGGGCAGGCATGCCAGCTTTACCGTCGAAAGTCCTGGAATTCGACGATGATGTCAGTGCACGTTTACAAACGCCATTGATTAGAATGAAAATAGACGCGCTGAATATCGTGTTTTTTTTTATGAAAGATAGAATTTATCGAACATTTATCTATATAAAACAAGATTAATATTGTAGAAATTGTATTTCTAAAGATGCATATAGGCCTAATTCATATTTCATTTGCCAGACAATAAATATTCAGGAAGATATAATAAAAACGATTATTAATTCTAAAATGTGCATCAAATCTCAGCTATTATTAATCAGTATGTAGCCTATTATATGTTAAGTCTTAAAATAATAATTTCGAATTAGGCCTAGTATATAACAAATAATTGTATTAAAGTTTAGGTTCTCATGATGTCAGATAACGTATTTTGGGCTTTGACTTAATTTAACGATGGCCCTGTCAGTAGTAATGACAATATTTGTGCTTTTTTTCAATTCTCAGAAAATATTTTCTAATTTTATTATATTACCACCTTATTATTACATAGATCTTTTTCAAAACATAGCTGCTTAATTATATAGACCCATTAAACACAAAAACTGCTTTGGCTTCGGGGGCTTCGCCCCGACCCCACCGTGGCCCTTAGGCGTTCCCCTGGACCCCACGCCCAGAGGACCCCCCCCCCCCCTTGGAAGAACCTGGCTACAGGCCTGGATTTACATAATGAAATACGTCATTTACTTTCTCTGTACTGCCAAGTCCCTAACAGTTGAATGTTACAATTCGTATTTCACACATTTAAATCTCTTATACATCTAGATTAAGCATAGGATGATAATGATGATGATGATGATGATGATGATGATGATGATGATGATGATGATGATGATGATGATAATGATGATAATGGTGATGGTAATGTTGATGGTGGTGATGATGATGACGATGATGATGCGATTCCAGCGTTCGTAAAATGTTTGTCAATGGTACTGGAAACAATTACGAAAGTGTGGGTGGGGCACTAGAAGAAGTGGGGGAGGGGCAATGGCTACTCCCCAACCCCTCCCCCTGCTTCCACTGCCGTTGACCATAGGCCTCCTCACATCCTTGCCAACATCATTATCTGTATGGTAATTGCTATACAGTGAGGGCCTATATTTTATTAAACTACAATGTATGTAATGATTTTTTCTGTGTAAAAATCATGATAGATTTCAATTATTGGTATACTACCTCTGTGATAATTATTAGAACAATCGATTAGTTTTTCAATATTAACTTTTTCGCTATTTAGAGGATTCACGAGGAAATTTATCACCACAGTGGATATTTTACACTGCCGTTTTTTGTTTAAATTTTCTTAGAGATCTTCTCCCTCTGAATATAATATGTACCAGTATGGACATGATGGCATTGAAGCTGAGGTTACCGGTGTGGTATCTGTATATGTTTTTTTGTGTGTCTTTGTTAATAACCACAATTAAATAAAGCAAATACAATCATAAATATTGGTGAAAAGTAGTTTAGTGCTCTTTTATTATAATTAACATCAAAATTACCAGAACAGGCTTCAATGAAATATTATGTAGACCAATAGATAGTCAAGAAGAAAAGTTTCAACGTATGAATCTAAAAGCAATATCTGTTAAAATGATGTAAACTATCTGTTTATGCTATCTAAACAATACCATTGATTTTCAATATTTCATAAAATTCCTTAAAGAATGATATTACTATAAATTATGACAAACGATGTGGTGTGTTAATTGCCAAAAATCGAAAGTAAATAGATTTTATAAAGAATTTTTTTCCAAGTTCATTATCATATTCAATGTTGAAATTACAACCGTAATAATACTAATAATAATAATAAAAATAATAATAATAATAAAATTAATAATTTTTTCATCAATTATTATCTTCCATTCTTAGGGAATTACTAACATTACACATTACATTTCATATATAACAAACCCTTTTCATGGAAAATAAGAAAACTGATGTGTTCATTTCTAATAACAATACACAATAT